ATAAATAAATAAATAAATAAATAAATAAATAAATAAGGAGCTCTGGTAGCGTAGTGGTTACAAATCGGGCTGCTAACCTCAAGGTTGGCAGTTCAAACCTACCAGCTGTTCGGTGGGAGAAAGATGAGGCTTTCTGCTCCCATAAAGATTTACAGCCTCGGAAACCCTGTACAGGGTCACTATGAGTCGGGACCGACTCCACTGTACTTAATGACAAACGGTTTTTAAAATTATTCTATAATAAGGTTGTTGTTAGGTTTCTACTTAAAGCAACCCTATGTTACAGAGTACACCTGCCCACAGGGTTTCCTAGGCTATACGCTTTCTCTTAGGAAATCATACTGGGTGGGTTCAAACTGTCAAAATTTCACTTTGCAGTTGAGCGCTTAACCATTGCACCACTATGGCTCCTTGGAAATACCTTAATTGAAATTAAATCTATCAAAATTATATTGCACCCATTCTGTGAAATACTGTTGTTGTTAAGTGTCACGGAGTAGGTTTCAACTCATAGAGATACTGTATAGTTTCCAAAGTTATTTAAATCTTTTGTGGGAGCAAAAAGCCGCATCTTTCTCTGATGTGAAATATTTGTTGTTAAGTACGGTGGAGTCAGTTCCGATTCATAGTGACCCTGCACAGGGTTTCCGAGGCTGCAAATTTTCACGGGAGCAGAAAGCGTCATCTTTATCCTGCGGAACAGCTGGTAGTTTTGAACTGCAGACCTTGAGGTTAGCAGCCTGATTTGTAACCACTATGCTACCAGAGCTCCTTTTTGATGTAAAATATTAGGCTACCATAAAGAGCCTGTGACACACCCACGTGGTGACAAGGAAGAATAGTCATGAAATACACTTTAGTGAATGAAAGAAAATACAGGAGACAATATGGGAAGTGCAATCCTATTTTTAGGGGGGGGAAGCGAAATTAGGGGGAAAAAGAAAGAAAAATAACAATATCAACAAAAAGTTCACAGTTCTCTAGAAGAATACACACCAAAATATTAACTAGTTATCTCCAAGAATGGTAACAAGAATCTTTCGCGTTCTACTATAGAATGTCTATCCTGCTTGACTTAAAAAAAAAAAAAGTGTCTCATTAATTTAAAAAAGTGATTTCAAAAACAAAGATCAAAACAGAACAAAGCTTGATTATCACAAAAGACAACAGTATATCTCTCTATTGTTTTAACG